TTAGGGGGCTGAAGAGGTAAAGTGGCTGTTTTCTGGCTCTCCAACACAGTGGTGGACAATGTGAGGGCACAACGCTCCTCTCAGCCCTATGCAATGTCTGCCTATGCCCCTGTTGCACACATTTTGCAATAGTGAGTTGCACCTCCATCACAGAACTGGACTGCTTTGTCTGTTCTGTCTGCTTGCCACTACGTCTGCATTTCTACTCCCACCCTTTCCCCTCCTCTTGCTAAGACTCCCATGCCACAACCAAGGCTTTCTCTAGGGATCTCCTTAGTTAGGTTGAGCCCCCTCTCTTCCAGCTTCCTGAATTTCAAGCTCTTGTTCTTCTCCTCCATGGAGAACTTTCTTCTTTCCCTCCAGCCCGCTCCTACATCTTGTCAACACCTTTGCAAACCTGAACACCTCACCCATGTGCACTTTCTGGGCCTCCAAGCTCACCAGATGGTAGGCCAGCATCAGCCAGGAGCTCCTTGAAGGTCTGGAGGCTTCAAGTGCTGACCCTGAAAGGCTCATTGTTCAGTGCCCAGGTTCTCAGAGACGATGATTTTTCCACCTTACAACTTTCAGGATGCTTCTCCCAGAGCTTCTTCCTGGCCTTGGGAGCCCAGGAAGATGGGAAGAATTTCTTCAGCTCCTTCTTTGCCTTGGAGGTGCATCAGGTTTTACAGCTACTTTGAGCTGTGTGAGGCTTGACCTGCGGGTTGCCTGCTGCTTTACCATGTGTTAAACGTGAGGAAGTGGAGGTTACCTCAAGGGGCAGAACTCTGGAGCTGGCCTGATGTGCACCGCAGCTTTTGCATAGCTCAGGTGACTTGGCAGACAGTTGTTTAGCTCTTATTGCTGGTACAGCATCAGCAATGGGGGCAAAGCTGAGCTGGCAAAACCTGGGTAGTGACTGAGTTTTCACTTCCATAGGCAGGCTTGAACTTAGAGAGCATGTTGCTGCTCTGTGAGACAAAAAAGCAAAGAAAATACTTTTGTGTGATGTCAAAGGGGAATCCTGATGTGAGCACACTGCTGTTATTTAACAGGATGGGGCCTCCAGAGGTTGGGGGAGAGGGGGCATGGACATGAATGATATCCCAAAATTGCTTGGCCTGGCGTAAAATGGCACTGGATTGAACCAGACACAAAATGCCCCAATTTACATTAGATTCACCTAGATTCAAATGGATGCATAAAGTCCCAGTGGACACAACTCTTTTTGTATTGGGACAACTGGGTTTACTTTGGGGCAAGTTTATATAGCTGAGCCCTAACCCATCTCCAGTGGCTAGCTGGAGACTTAATGCAGTACTTTCAGGAGTTCATCTGCCCTGCTCTTTCTGTTACCCAAAGGAGGGTTTGTCACTGGAAAGCAATGCAAGGTTTCCCTCTTGCCCCCCAAGACTGCAACGTTCCCACAAAGCCAGTAGAGCAAACTGTTAAGGCAGAACCTCCTTTTGGGCGTTGCCCCTAGCAGGAGGATGCTTTGCAGACTGGAAGTACCGGTTACGCATCTGAGCAACTGCATTTGTGGTATGAAGGAAGCCAACCCTCAGGCAGCAATGGAAATCCTGCTGTGTCTGCAGCCAGGGTGTCCCTGTTACTGCCGAGTCAGAGCGTGCCATGTGACATGCTGTGGGGGAGATCTGCCCCATCTTTGCCTGTGTTGCAACAGGCCATGTTTCTCTTACCTCCCACTCTGCTCAGCCCTGCTGGAACTGCTTGCCCTGCAGGAGGAAAAAGGAGCTCCTTCTCTTTTATGCATTGGGTAGTTGGTCCTGATGCTAAGCAGCCCCCTTCCTGGCAGACTCAAGGGCTTCCAGCAATTTGGCTGGAGTGGTCAACCCATTTCAGTTCTGGAAGCAGGAGTCTTCCTAGAGCCTCCACAACTGCCGCAGTGCAAACCTTGGCAATGGAAGAACACAGGAGGCCAAGGTGGAGACCTCCCCTTAGACCCTCTTATTATGCACAGACGAGTTATACTGGAGACACCACCAAACTAAGGTTGAGCAGGACTGCAAGAGCCCTGTTTTATGCCCCATCTCCCCCTTCCTACCTTTTCTATTCCAGGCCTCAAGTTGAAAGCAAGTACCTACCTCAAGGGGGCAAAGCATGGCTGCTGCTTTTGGCTGAGGAACAGGATGTACCTACTGGGGATCCCACCTAGTCTGACCAACTGGGGAGAGGCTACAATGAGTCCATGGAAAGTCAGGCATGGCATCCCCAGCTTGTGCACATGCAGCCCTTCACCACGGAGGATGCAGCACAACTGGAAATCTGGGTGTCAGAGCAAGGACTGCAGCAAGAGGCCGCTTCATGGACCAACAGCAGCTGTGAAGCAACGTGGCCTGCAAGTGGCATGAGTGTACAATCCCACTGAGCTAGCACCAGGGATCTCCGTTACACGGAGACCTGTTTAAGAGATCACTTGTTGAAGTGACATACAGTAGTCAAACATTCAAAACCTAGGCAGAGCTGGGCAGCCTGCAGCATGCATGCCACAAGTGGCATGGGCAGCCTGTGTGCACACATAGCAGATTGGGTAGGAAACAGAAAGCAGAGGAAGGGGAAGCCTGTTACGTGCACAGGCTTAATTTGTGACATGCCTCCTAAAAACGTTGGTCCCTACTGCCCTTGGACATGCCAGGATGCAGGTTGCTTGTACCTCAATCCCTTCACCTCCTCTCGTGCGTGTTATCACAGTCTTTACTGACTTCTTTGTACATTGCATCTCCTATGCAACCTTTGCCTCATTCAAGGCCCAGGGTTGATTGTGCTCTGGGGATGCATACGGACTAGGTAGGACAGGAAACTGTCATCTGTGGGCTCCCTGCCTCATTAAGTGGCTCTTTTTCAATTTATGTAAAAAACAACATGCAGGATTGCTGAGAAAGGGTGGTCTCAGTTCAAGGCAGCTGGAAGTGGCTGTGGAGAACTAGCACTCATTTCTGCCTCTGCCATACAGCTGCCATGCAATGCTGGGAACTTTTTGCAGGGGATCACCAAGTACATATGCCTCATTTATGGGGCTGACAACCTTATCCAATTTACAGAAGTGCTCAGCACTTACAGTTTCAATCAAAGGGAGCTTGCCGAGTGCCAGGAAGGAGGCTATATTAAGATAGCACAGACAACCTCACTTCTGTCATTTCCTGACTTCCTAATGCTTGATTTTGCAACCTTGATGTTCTTACATGGCAGCTTTGTGTGGGATTTTCTAGATCCTTTTCTTTCTTAAGGTAAAACTGAAAAACCATCCAGGAATTTCATCACATGGCATCCTATCAATACTGACATGGGTCATCTGCTAGTTTGGAAACTTTGGAGCTCCACAACTTGAACCAAAGGGGTAGCAGATAGCAGTGCCCTACACGTGCTTATTATTAAAGGGGGACAGGATGCTTCAAATATTTGTAAATAAGGTATTTGCTGATAGCAGTGAAATGGTGAGACTCTTAGGTTCCCATCCAGGTTTTGGAGAGGTGTACTGCAGCAGGCACAGACTTCTGCCCTTTCCCATCATACTTAACTTACGTGCCCTACAAGTGGTCCCTGTCCTGTGTGACCTCCTCATTGACTCCAAACCCTAGTCCTGTTTCAAGCACCTTGTCAGCTCCAAGGCTGTGTAGAGCAACTGTTGAAGAAGTAAAGTGCAAAGACGATCAGTAAGCAACATAAGCAGCCCTGAAAAGGTTGTTTCCAAGGTGAGAAAGGCTCAGGCTCCTTCAGTTTTGCACAAATGTTTAAAAGTAGGTGAGAAAGAATGTCTCAGAGATTTACTTAAGGTGTAGTAGACCCCTTCCTTAGGATAAGTCAGGGTTTACTCTACCATGTCTCTGTCCCAGGCTAACAATTGGCAGAGTATCCACTCAGTGTAGTCATGCTTCCACAAAGCCCCAGATGCTGCAGTAGAGCTTCTGAACCAGGGTGCCATTGTACCACGAGGAGCTATGAGATTCACTGAAGGGGTTCCTTGGGGTGCCAAGCAATGTTGGTGCTGTTAGGTGTGCAGACACCTATGTGATTCACAAGACAAACCCAGAGATTTCAAAATGAACCCATCCTGTCAAAGACGTTCTGACCTGCTGTGGTCTTTCTGAATTCTTTGCAACAGAAGAATTGCTCAATTAAAAAAAACAGAAAAAGCAAGTGAAAGGTAAGAGCTGGTATTTTCTGAGGGGTGCCCTGATAATGAGTTGTGCTTTGACTCTAAAAAAGATTGAGAACCAGCGTTAGCGTTTGATTGAGAACAGCAGTGTTTCTCAACCTGCGGATTACAACCCAAAAGTGGGCTGCAAGAATATAGGAAAGAGTTGAGAACAAATTTAAAAAATGGATCAACATCTCCTTTAAAGGAGAAAAACGTGGGAAACTGTGGGTTTTCCCTTGCAGGTTATCAGAGTTCCAGGCTGCAAGGGACTCCTTGGGGCTTCCCCCACCCCACACACTGGGGGCAGCAGGTTAAGAGGGGCACTAGGGTGGGACTGGCCATTCATATTTACAAATGGGTCCTGGTATAAAAAAGGTCGAGAACCACTGGTCTATAGCTTTGACATTGCCTCAAACTAGAAGGCCAGAAAGAACCAGGAGACAAGCTTCACAATAGCATAAGCAACCCACTCGACCTTGTAGACTGCTGCCTCGCAAGCCGGCCAAACTCCAATTCTCAGATAGCTAGCAGCGGTAACAAACAGTACCAGAATGAGAGGGGACAGAACCCAAATGGCATCCTGAATCCAAGCAATGGCAAATAGCAGCATAAACTTCCAAAGTATCATTGGGTATGCTTTGCTTGGTTAATCTGCAGAGACAACTTTCCAGAGAGAAAGGACTTTCCTTTTTAACTAAAGATTAAAGGGCTATGGAGAAGGAAGTACTAATAGTCTGTGCCCCAAAGAACTATTTTTGCCAAGTCATCTTTGGCTTCCCCTTTTTTCCTTCCCCCACCAACAGATCCAGCATAACCACCTGCTCCATGCCATGATGGCTGAATGAAGGAGGCCAATTCCAACTCACGCTCGCTCGCATTTTATTATCTCCAGAAAGACGGCGAGTGTCAGAGAACAACAACATGGGACACGAGTGGTGAGAGGCTCAAGGGCACTGTCCCTCACCCCCGGCACAACCAATCAGCATAATTTATACAAACACTTCAATAAATAAATAAATAAATAAAACTGTACAGACAAAGCAGCAAGGAATGATTTTCTGGGGCTGTGGCACATTCACAGCACTGACAATACCAATGCTACTCCACGCACAGCCATCTAGCAGCAGTGGGACAGGGGGACCACGGACCCCTCTCCCATCATCTCAGTGGCCTGGCCCAGAGACAAAAAAGGCTGTACAGTTCACTACTGATGTGCTTCATTGTCTAGTCAGAAAAGCCCTTTCCCTACATTTTCCTCCCACCCACAGGAAAGGGTGTTTGGAGATTGTTACTGATCTGCTATAAGTAGTTACAGCAGGTCTGGCTCATTATGGCACAGGTAAACTAGGACAGGCTCCTGGTTCCTCATCCTCAACACCTCTAGGAACACCAAATTAAGCTAGTGCAGTGACAAGAGTCAGAGCTGAGGACAGTCCCTACAGAGCAAGAAACCATACTTCTCTTCATTAAAAGGGCAGGGCAGACTCTCTCGTTCACCATCCCACCTGACTCAGGTGCACTCCCACCCCTTTCCGGGTCCTAGGTGGGGAGCCCCACCACTGGGCACAGGGTGGGGGCAGGAGAGGTAATAAAAACAGCACCAGCTACTCCCCTGGCAAGGACTCACTGTGGGTGCCCGGGGGAGCACAACAGCTGCAGTTCAAAAACCAGTGAAGGACATAGCAGTAAAGGCCGCCACTGGTCACGTAAGAGAGAGAAAATAAGACATAACACAACTGGGCCCCACCCCAGGAGTGGGGAGGAGGGCAAACGGACACTGGTTTGGCCTGTAAATGCTACTCCCACCCCGTGCACACAAAAAGTTAATGAAAGACTCCCAAGTCTCCTTTAGAGTCACTGGTAGCAGACTTGACTGAAGGGACAGGGTTTTATCAGCAAAATTCAGTACCTGGCAGCTTGGAGGAAGGACAATTCATACCATGCCTCTCCCCTCAAAAACCAAAGTACTGGTATGCAAAGAAACAGGAATGGTGGAAAAAGGCAGGGAGAGAGAAGTAGGAATGGGTGATAAGATGGTGTGGGACTAAGCTCCCTTCCCCCTTAAACAACTTTCTAGTCATCCAGGCCCGGTATTAAGTCTGCAATGCTGTCCACATAATAGTTGGGCACCAGATCCTTTGCAGCAGGGCTATCGCTGGCCATGTAGGCCTGTGCCTCCTCCAGACGTGACACGCCTGTCAGGGTCAGGACAGTGGCAAGACCACAGTTCTTGCCGAAGAGGATATCTGTCTCCAAGCGATCACCCACCATAAGGGTGCGGGAGGGGTCCACGCCAAAGCGCTCAACGATGCAGTCAAACATGTAGGTGTTTGGCTTCCCCACCACCAGCGCTTTGCGTCCTGATGCGGTTTCTACAGCAGCTGTGAGGCTCCCTGTCCCTAAAGGGAAGGGAAAGAGAGATGCCCATACATCAATAATATGTCAATGACTAAGTACACTACCAACCAAAGCCAAGGCAGAAGTGCAGCAAAAGCACCTGTGGTGTTCCAGGGAGCGGGACAAGCTACAGGCCCTGCAGCTGGGAATCTCCTGAGGATTGCTGGCCCTTACACCCAGGATGCAGAACCACACCTCCTTTTGGGGCATGTAACTTTGGAGAGCAAACCCCACACAACAGGCACCTGGCCCACAACTGGGGATCCTAATACCCCAGCCCTTATTAAAAGCCGGAGCTGCTGGTCTGGTGCACTGTGAGGACTACATTAGATGCACTTTGCTCAAAAGCAGGGTGCTAGCAATTGAATCACTGGAATCTTATGAGGGTGAGAGGCTGCATGCAGGTCCCTTGACACTTTGGTGGGTGAGTGTTGCCTGTATGTGTTGGGTGTGGGTGCAGGGGTCCATATGTGAGGGCAGCATTGGGGTGAGAGGGTCAACAAGAAGTATGTGTGTGGGGGAGTTCATCCCTACACCCACTCCCAGCCCCCCCACACCACTATGAATAGGGGGCACATGTAGGGAAGGGTACAGGGAGCATGTGTGGTGGGGAGGGGGTGTTGGGAGCAGCTGTAGGAATGAATAAGGAGGTGTGAAGGGAGCACATGTAGGAACAAGCAGGGGATGCATGTCACGGGGGCAGCTATGGGAGCATGTGCATGGAGGAGGGTGTGTAGAGGAGCCATGTGGGGCATGTAAGGAAGGTATCTGTGTGTGGGGTGCAGGTGCACATGTGCATGGGGGGGCAGCCCCAGGCCAGGGGGATATGAAGGGCTCCTCTCTCCCCCCCAGAGGGCCCCAGGGCAGCAGCTCAGGGCTGGGATGGAAGTCCACCTGCATGCATGAGAAGGTGCAGGCTGCAAGCAGGCCTCCCCTCCCCGCCCCCCATCCCATGCGGCCCCTCACCCGGGGTGCGCTGCCCGTTGCTGAGTGGGTGCCAGGGGTCGGGGTCGGTGGCCACCAGTAGGCAGCGTGGGTCGCGCAAGTAGGCGCAGGCCTGGGCCAGCTTCGCGAAGGTGAACTGGTCATCGTAGCCCACCAGCACGGCACGCACCGCCGTCTCCTCCTCCTCCTCCTCCTCCTCCCCGGCCAGGCGCAGCCCGGCGGCCCGCAGCTCCCCACGCAACCCCTCCCCGCCCAGCACGAAGACGCGGCCGGGCCCGGCGTCCCCCGCAGC